AACACCATTCATAAGAGGGCAGCGTATCACATACCAGATGCCTGGCTGCAAGGGTTCGCAATCTGAATCCTTTTCAACAAAACGGTTTGGGTGTTCAATTGGGAAACGAGGATGGGTCATGGATATTGTATTTAAGGCTCCATCGTTGTCCTGCCAGTCCTCATCCCTGCAATGCCAATTTGGAAGTTGTTGATTGGTCAAGCTTAACTCAAGTTACAACCCGAAGCTGCTCAAGGGAAAGGCCAGAGGTAGAAATGTCTAATGCTTCAATAAAATGAAAAAACCATACCTGTAACCTTTGTAAGGGGGAGAAACGTCGGAAGGATGTCGCCATTGGGTCATCTGCAAAACTCTTATAAAAAGCAATGGGTGAATTCCAGTAATGCTTGAAGGAAGTGTGACACCTAGGATTTTCCTAGTGCGCTTGGTAGCATAGCTGAAGTAGTAAGTATTTGGAAAAGTGTGTAGATGGTAGTTGAGTTTTATAGATCCTTGAATTGTAAGATCAGGGAGGATCCAATCCCCTGAAGCAAATGGACCGGCATGCCCCAGGAGGCAATCGACAAGCCCCGAAATGCCCATCTTCCTCCATGACATGTTGAAGTGATCAAACCCGAAATTGTAGTAGGTCTTTAGCATGGAAATGTCCAGCCAATCATAAATTATTGCTCCGATACGGCAAATTTGCAGCAGACAAATAGGTTTCAATGTTTTCCAATCTTCTGGCCTAAAACAAACTCAAGTTGAAGATCACCAGTTTCAGCAATCACAGTTTGTTCACAAGTGAAACTCAATTCTCAAGATTAGCAGAAGTGCAGAAACAATGAAAACATTCATGACATTCAATTGAAGCAAGCAAGTATATGGTCTTTTTGAATGCAGATTCCATTATTGAGACATCAGATCACAGTTGCCAGTTTGCTCAGAATGGCAGCATGAGCATTAACTCATAAGTACCGAAGGAATATACTAGTTCCAATTTATTACCTAAACCCAATCACCCCATATCTAGTGAATAAGATAACATCAGTAATAGATTGCTCTGTATAATATCACTCCCTCAATGTCAACGGTAAGCTATAATTTATGCATCAGATTAAGCATGACTACGATTTTCCCATACACGACATGAATTACAAGGTGAGGACCTCCGAGTTGGATAAATTAGTCTACAGATGGGAACTTACTGCATGCCGTCAAAGTAGGTTCTTGTAGTGCCATTAAATGCTCCTGATAAGGCCGTTATGCTCAAAACCCAGCTCTCTGAAGTGTCTTCATACCCCTTAAATGCCTGGAGACAACATGCCAAATAATCTTCAACAAATCATTTTCCACATTAGACCATCAGCATGACAGTGCATTTGGGACTGACCTTATCAGCAAGCATTTGTTGCAAAACACGAGCAACCTGTGCTCCAGCTGAGTGACCAACAAAGTGAATAGGATGATCCTCGTCCCACTCAGGATAGTGGCCTGCATCCAAATTGTCAGGACATTTTTTTTTCATTCAACGGGAAAAATGGACTATAAGAGCATAATAGACTACAGAACAAGCAGATCCTCGAACCTTGTTCGTAGATGCGTCCAAACTGCGAGTGTCCATAAGCAATGCTGTGCTCTTCGCCGTAATCGACTTGCCCACCTTTTAGATAATAGAACAATTCGCGAGCCCTGAGACAAAATACTTTCAGAACTTTCCCGAACAAGCACAAAATCAAAAGCAACCCAACCTAAAAGGAAAATCCATTAACAAAACCCAGAAAAATAATGGAAGTTTCGACGCCTCAATCAATCACCTATCATGGATACTGGTTAAAGATCCCAAATCAGGGACGAGAACCCTTTCATCTTTCTTCTCTGCACCGGCGAAATACGATAAACTACCCAATCTCTGCGAATTGAAAACGGAATGAGATTCATCTAATTGGAGAAAAGAAGTTCATCACAGAAACGAACGGAAACAGGCGTTTACTTACCCCTTTGCCAACCCGAAAATTCCATGTAGTAACACAATAGGAGGCAGGTCATCGTTTTTATCTTTTCGCATTTCGTCCTTGACCTCGATATTCTCCTTAGACTTGTAAAAGTAATCACTAAGAGCTTGCGAGAGATCTCCAGCAACACCCGTGCTGAAATGTAAAATCCATAAAGCAAATGGATGATAGAGCTCACAAACAGCTCCACCAATTGCAGATAAGCTAACCATAATCTGATCATTTTGCAGAATCAACCCCCAAATGAAGAACAACGAAGAAGTTTCCAAACAAGAGAGCCTTCTTTGAAACCCAGAAGACAAACCCACGAAGAAGGCTCCTTGTTGCCGAAGGTAAGAAACGCTTCAAATCCTTCAGGGCTCAGGCTAATAGATTACCCCTTTTGTGTTGTCGAAGCTTGAATGTTACCATGTAGAGTAAAGCAATAAGGAAATCTCACGCGGGTCGGAAACAGATTTCATATAGTCGTTTCACGCCTCAAAATTCAAACTTTGAAAAATGGTTATTTTGCACATTTTTATTGTTCTCCTGCCACATGGAAAGCAGACCACCAATCAAAATTCCATCGAGAAAGCAATAAACTTTTTGAATTTAATAAGAGAAAAAAAATGCGTGGAGAAAAGAAATGCTCGCTTGGGTTAACGATGCGTGTCCAATCATTGCCCCTGAGACAATCGGGATGGTTGTAGGCACCACAGAGCTGAAGAAAACAACATCCAGAATAATTTTCCAGATAATCGCCTCCGAATCAGCGACGAGACAAATAAGACCGATTCAGATACGAATACGATTCGAGAGGTTTTTATCTTTATGATGATAGACTTGTGGAGAGCAGAGACGTCAAGCCAACGCTCAACTGTGTTTGTTAATTTGTTTACAATTTACAAACGAATTCTGAATAAAAATTAGTTGTTTCCTTAATTCTTCTTGTAAGCCAAATACTACCTCCGATCCTAATTATAAAGCTATTGATTAATTAAAAAATTAAAGAAATAAGTTGAGTTATTTATTTGTCCTAAATAGGTGTTGTCTTTTCTAAAATATCCTTGCACAAGTGTATTGACTAGAACTATTATTAAGAAGGGTTACTTTGAAAAAAATCTATAAATATAGAGACAAAGTAATTGGAATCTTTATTTAAGATCAAAATAAAAATCAAACAAGATTTTATATTAAGGATCGGAGATAGTAATACCATAATTAAAAAGTCTCAGATTATTACTATTATTTTTTCCTTATCTTAATTTGGGTAACTAACTCTCAAGTTTTAAACCTGAAAGTGGTGTGTTTCCTCCTCCTCTTATTATTCTATTATATATTTTTCCAAGATAATCCTTCTAATAATGATAGTTTTAACCAATATACTAATTAGCAAGGATATTTTAGGAATAACAACACTTATTTATTATAAATAACCAATTTAATTTACTTCCTTAATCTCCTCAAATAAGTTAATTGGGTCTTATAATTAGGACCGGAGGAGTATATATTGATCATATGAGAGAGAGAGTATACGTTAACGGTAAGGGTTCAATGAATGTGATGTGGCGTGCCACAGGCAGATTCCGCGGCTGTTGGGTAAACAACAAAACTGTTCTAATAAAAATAGCTGGCCACTTTGTTTTGGAAAGCGCTAAGATGACTTGTAATTATAATATTTTTAATTTATAATATGGGAATGAACGACGTGGATTTTCAAAGATTCTGAATCATGTTTGATAGTATTGAAGAAATCGAAGGAGGGGAAAGAGTAGAAGAATTAAGAAATAATTTAAAAAAAACCCTTGTTTTTAATAATAATTGATCTAGTTGGTGAGAATACTAAAACATAAAGAAGACCCTTGTATTAATAAAAATTGATTTGAATTTGACTTCATAAGATTATGACTTCAAATTCTGCTGTTGTTATGGGCAGACAATTTATAAATACTTTCATGCATGCTCAATAAATCATCGGAAGCAGGAGCTCCGTTGCTTGGCCGGATGGCTAGAAAGGGCGCCCAAGGTGCGTGCCCGCCTCCAGGGCTCGGTTTCGACATCTCACCCCTCCTCGATTTAGAGGCAACTCTGGATTAGTCGATCTCCTTCAGGAGGTCGGATACCGAGACTTACGCAAAAAAAAATCATCGGAAGCTAGCTCACTTTTATTATTGTTAAGAAAAACGAAGATTCTTCTATGTTATTACTCTATGGGTGAGGAAAAATAGAGTATACTTAATGCAAGGTACTACCTACTTCGTATAAATAAATAATTAAAATATTGCGTGAGAAAAATAATGAAAGGGCTGGATTTCCCATAAATTTTTTGACCAAAGAATTTCCCAGAATTAAAGTTCTTATTATATGAACTTTTTAATTCATAGGCTGTATATTTATCCCTAAAAAGAAGGTACCTTAATATTAATTTAAACATGCACTCATATTTAAGGTAATGAAAACACGGTCATCGGCGCGTTTAAAAATGTATTAATGGTGAATAATATGATATTCATTTTAAATAATACTTCTCTAGTCCTGTTTATAAGATACTTTCAACATGTTTTATATAGATTAAGAAAAAACTAAAATTTTATTAACTTTAATTTAAAATTCAACAATTTTCTAACTTTGTCCTTATTTAATATATATTATATCTTATATAAATAGAGTCAACACAATAATAAATAAAGAGTGAAATTATATATTGATACGAAAAATTTCTCTCAGTACCCTATAAATAGGACAAAAAATGTGTTATCTATCTGCTTTATAAATAGAATCAGAGGAGTATATATATGGCTATATGTATAACTTAAAAATTCCATAATTTACTTACCAAGCGCTTTTCTTTTGTTGGAAAAAAAAAGGATTCAAGCTTGCGGTGCCACTGATTGCCGGTCCCACTTCTCCATTATGTATCTTGCCATCTACTCTGCCAAAACCATTTGAGGCCTTTGGTTTTGATAACTTAAAGTTTAGGATTAGCTATAAGGTCATAACTCATAACTTGAGTCTGCAAAAGGGGAAAAAAAAAAACTTGTGGAAAACATTTAGTGTGATTGAGTTAGAAGGTTTTTGGGTATAAATTCAAATTCAGTATCAAATTCTTTCAATGGCTCAAGTAAATTTTCTCATATTTCTTGTGTGGTTGGGAAATAATATTAGTAACTTGATTGTGCTGACCAAGTTGGTGAAGTGGGGAAATAAAGAAAGGAATGGGAGAAAAATGCGTAGGTGGGGAAGGAGCACGTGAAGGGTGAGGAGAGAGAGAGAACAGGATGAGTCATAGTCTACGCGGATGAGTCTAGAGTCTAGACGCTTCCAAAACAGCACGTGGTCCCAAACACAAACAGGTGGCTCCCCCCAAACTACACAAATCTATTTATTAACTTTCTTTATATTCTTTTCTTCCGCCTCCCGATTGGCTTCCCTCTTCGGTCGGTACCTCCTTCGTGTACCTCACGCGCCTTTTTTGCATCGCCCCACTATGGCGCCAATCCTAACTGTTTTTTCCCCTCCTCCCTAACAGCGCCTCCCAAAAAAAAAAAAAACACAGAAATTCGCTGCTCTTAATCACAAGTAGTCGTGGCTAAGTGTGACAAGCGAGTCATATTTTAATCTATTTGTCATCATCAAATATTAAATGATCATTTTTAATAACGCTTCACCCCCCCCCACTATTTGACGAGCCCGAATGCTTTTACTTTGGGAAATTCGTCCATCTTAATTCTAAATAAATAGAAAAATAATAAACCAATATTATTATTTTATTTTATTTTATTTATTCAAAACATGTTTTTAGAATGAGACGTTTGAATACATAGGTATAAAAGCTACTATTATAAGAAGACAAATGTAGGTAACCCCGGAGTCTAGATGAAGAACACAACTAGAAAATCATCGTATGTACAGAATTGGAAAATAACGACGAGGATTATTATAGTTTTATCCGTATAGCATTTTTGTAAAAAAAGATAGAGACATTTTTATGAGCACTCCTCTGTCGTCTAATAAAAAAAGGGCGGAGTTTCTAATGTCAACTTGTTCCACAATCTGATGCTCGTCATGAGTTAAAGATCCTTGAAAGATAAGCTCTTATCCTTGAGGGCGAAGATTTTGAAGATTGTGAGGAGCCCAATCACTGGCCCAGGCCTCATTGGGCTTTTGAGACTTAGACCCATGGACCAATTCATCAGGCCTGAATTTGGTCGGACCCATATATAATGGGCTCCAAATAGAGCTTGGCATTTGCCAGTGGCTGCTATGTTCCCCTCTTTAGCAGAAAACGATGGCCGAAATAGTTTTATTAACGTCAAAAATTATAATAAGGTCTAAATAAAAAAAATTTTAGAAGTTATCATTTGTTACTTTGAAACTTGTTATTACAGGCTGCTTAAGTTGTTATTAAGATTTTTTGTAATTATTTTTCTTTCTTAGGACTTAATTGTAATTCTTCCTAAAAAGTATTTATTGATAGGTAGGAAAGTGAAAAAAAAAACTATTTTTTCTTTAATGAAAAACAATAAAAACTGAATATAGGTAAGGGGTTCAAAATATTAAATATGACGTAATAAGCACCAGTAGGGAGGTCAGATGGGGTGGATCTATATTCCATCTCCAGCGCAGCCACCTGCGGTTCATGGTTACTGTAACTGCAGAGGCAAAGTCTCCTGTTATTTACGCAACCTCCGCTTGCCTTCCAAGTCAATTCTTTCCCCATTTATGCATTTAATTAATACAAGTAGTAATTAACAATTATTGCATGTTAAGTATTCATATTAACCAGCTGTAATCGGTTTCAGCTATTAAAAAAAAACCTAGCTGTAATCGGTTACAGTAGGCAGACTCACTTGATACCGCCCGTTCACTTCTCTTATTATATGAATTAAAAATGAATTCAACAATTAATGGCACTTTTTAAGCTAATTAGAATTCGGTGAACCACATGCATAATAATTAGAGTAAAATACATTACATACCTTACTACTTTACCTAAATTACAGAAAATCTCTTGTATTTTAAAAGCGTATACGAATTTCTTTTGAAATTAAAATATATGTTACACAAGCCGGGAAAACGGGCCGAGCCTGTTGGGCTGGCCCGTTTAGCCCCTGAAATTATGAGGGTCGGGCTTGATATTTTTCCCTTCAAATAGAAAATAAGCCCTGGAGGGCCGAGGGCTTAAAAGGGCCAGTCCTGGAGGGCTGTAGGCCGGCCCTTTTAAGCCCTTTTATAATTTTTTTTTGTTTTTTAATTTTTTTATATAATTCTAATATTATTAATTTTTTACATTGTTACTAATATTTTAAATATTTAGTTATTATCATCATTTTAAAATTAAATTTAGTGTTAAACAATAATTTATCTAATTAAATTTTTAAAAAATGTGTTAATTTGGACTTTAATAATAATTTGATTTATATTATATGCGTTGATATTTTTAAACTATATATATATATTTGATAATAGAGTATTTTTATACTTATATAACTTGTGATTCTATAATTTGAATTAGAAATTCATGAGTTTCAACAATAATGTTTCTCACATTAAAGTAAAATAATAGTTAGATTGTACAATTTAAAAGTAAAATTCTTATAAAAAAGAAAAACTTAATATTTTTGTTACGAAAGAAAAACATGCTTATGAAGAAGAGTAATTAATTATAGTGATGATGAAATTTCAAAAGATTAATGATAGTGTTTATTTATTACACAATTGCACTATAGATAAAACTTTTAGATGTTGTTATCTTGTTAATGAATGTTTTAAATATTCTTGGATGTTGATAGATATTTATATATGATGATATTTTATATTTGTGACTTAATTTTATTCATATTTATGTCTTTTTTTAATAATTTCATTGGTTTATTTTTATTTTTTTATAAAATTTATGATAAATATAAAAAAATAGTATTTTTTTCTCAAACGGGCCAAAAGCCTGCGGGCCGGCCCTGAACCCTGTGGCTTAAGGGCCGGGCCTAGCAAATTAGGGTATTTTTGAAACTTCAGCCCTGGAGGGCTAGCCCTTTTAAGCCCATCAGCCCTGATTCCCAACTTTGCTTCCTTATATCACTAATGATTTATTTTTATCTCCCTAAACTATTAATTGACCGTTAACTTTTATTTTGACTAAAATACCCTTCTTTAATACACGAATTATTTAAATATTTTCAAAAATAATTTTTATATAACTTGCAAATTATTCAAATACATATAGTTTCAAACTTTCTAATATGTTATACTATTTATCAATTTTGATCATATCATCAAAATTATCTATATGACAAAAATACCAAAGATTTGGAAAAACAGACAAAGATATCAAAAAGGATATCATATTCACTATTCAACTTTTGAGATTTACACAAGAGTCTATAATCAATGGATGACTAGTTAGTCAAAAGCAAAAACCTAAGAAAATAGTACAAATATAACAAGAATTGATATCAATAAATGATCAGCCTGAGCAGCAAACCCAAGAATGCCAAAAGAAAAAAAATATGAACCTCTCTCTTTTCTCTCTTCAATTTTCGGAAGAAGTGGTCTATAATTAGGGGCACCTAACATTTCTACCAGGTCCACCGTAGTAAAAGTAGTTTCCCCACACACGATTAATGCCGCCTTGAATATCATAGCAACCCGGGTGATCGGCGAGGACCCGAAGATTGGACAAAGGGACCAAGTTATTGTCCCAATCCACGACTTGGAGGTTCCGAAAGTAAGAGGCTCTTCCGAAGCCTTCTTCTGCAAAATGCCCACTTCCCATTTGGGTCAGTGTGTGGGTACCCGACGATCTCGAGTTCACTATTTCTCCTCCAAATTGAACCATGCTCGCGTGTTGCCTTAGGTGCGTGAACAGCCTCGACGGCCAGTACCCGACTAATATACCCGATCCGAACTCCAGCCACCAGTTCCCATGCTTCGGATCCTGTCATTCTCTATTCGGGTCACAAGGGGGCATTCTTATGGGTGAAAAAAAACCTTAAATGTTGCCGTATATGGATAAAGTTATCATAGTTATTTAGAGATATTTTTTTAGAATTAATTTAAGTTTTATGCAAGGATCATTGCTTTTGTTTCTAAAAATTGTAAGAAAATTTTTAGACCTTTGTAGGGTAATGAAATTCTAACTTAACCTTCATAATAATTATCACCCTGATTCATGAGGTTATAAGAATTCTGAGTATTATTAAAATATGAAAATTCGCAACCCAACTTAGGTTAAAACAAATTTTAATATTATTCCATCAAAATTTTATTTTTTATAATGGTAATGTTTTGTTCCACTCATTATAAATTTAAAAAACAATTATTAGATGTCATTTTCCCTTAAATAAAGGCCTGCCTCTACTTTAGAGTTTTTAGACACAAAATTCAATGCCAACGCGAGACTTCCAAAACAATGAGATCCCACCATTGACCGTCCTTTGTATTTTTCCTTTGACTACCCCAAGGAAAAACCTGTTAGTCAATGTCACGATTTACTCACTGATGTAAGTTATTTTCTCTAATTTGATTAGCAAAACATTAATTTCATATTTTGTCTTTCTATAAAATTAAATTTTATTTCTGGCAAAAAAATAAATCATATAAAATTTATAAGTGATTAATTTATTGTAATTAGTATTATTTTGATTTTTGTTCAGGGTATATTTAAAAAGTTTTATAAATTTTCTACACATTTAATGTTATAACTTCTTTTTAACTATTTTTTAATCAATAGTGAGGTGATTAAGCGGGACTTATGTTATGAATAAGAGAATTGTGTAACAACGCTTGACTTGATACGATCCACAGTAAAAAGAAAAAGAAAAAGTCAAGTACACCCACCTAACATAAATGGAAAAAAATATTGAATATTGAATTTAGGGCCGCTGCTTATTTTGATTTGAAAATCATAGAATTTGAATCTAATAAAAAATGCTAAATGGTTATTAATTGTATAAAATGTTAAATTTAGGGAATTACCTTCCAAATAAGCAAGCTAATATCAAATTGACCACCCTTGTAAGAAGAAGTAGGCGAAATTGCAGCCCCAATTGCAATCCTGTTATTAGTTTGAACGAAGCCAGAGCACAATAAATTGTAACACCCAGTTGCTTGATAAGCATCACTCTGCATCCACACACATATCTTACACTTCAGCAAGAAGCAAATTAAAACGCAAACACAAAACATTAAAATAACAAACACAAACGTTGTAATAAATTCTACTTACTGTCCAATAGGTAAAAAACCTGGGATAGCTGTCACCATATAGCTCAGGGCTGACCTGCATCAAAACTGATGCAACTTAGTTTCACTGCTCTTGCTTGCTTTGCTTGCAATCCAAATATTATTAATTACACTGAGAGAATACAAAAAATAAAAACAGAGAGGTAGGTGGTTTGGTTGTGGCCTTTTAAATGCTTATCTTAGTGTGATGCATTAATAAGGAAGTTTATGATACAGAGGAAAAAACAGAGTGTTTGTGTTGGACAGAATTAAATGAGTGAACAGAACATATTACTACCTGCCAACCAGCTTCAATTGTATTGAGATCTTGCCCGAATGAGCCAGAAATGACCCAAATTTGAGACAAACTGAATTCATATTGATTTGCCACACGTGGAACCCACACGTTTATGCTTGCTTTTGCTCCGTAATACTTATCTCCACTCACAAATCCTACTGCATGCTGAAAATAAACACAGCAGCAAGTTTATAATACAATCCCAGATACAGATTGGGCTGTGCTTGAGAAATTTTCTTGGAAGAGGTTGGTGTGGGTGCGATTTGAAGATGAAGATCAGTCTGTTTTGTTAAATCGTAAGAGAAAAGGACAGCTTCTGAAGTTCTTGCTTTGGAGTAAGGGGAAACTATTTGCAGAGGGATTCTGAAACTCTGTGGTCAATGTAATAAATTACCAGAGGAATTAATAATGGATGGTGTGTCATGGTCAAATTTGTGGTTATGGCTTTAATTGTAATCAGAAATGGGAAAAAGGTACCTGTTCTAGTTAAACATACTTCACATTTTGTCAGGGAAGAGAAAAAGAAAATTCTGGGTTTGTGATGGAACTTAGAAGAATGAATACCTCATGGCCATTACTATTTGAGTCCCTCCTTACACGTCCTCTGATTTTTCTTCCAAATCTGCGAACAGAACTGGCTCTTAACATGTCTTCTTCTCTTGTTCTTCTGATTGGGATGGTTCCTTCAGGACATGACTCTCCAGACAAAGTCCATATCTGAAAATTCTCACTGAACCAACCCATTTGGTTTTGATGGATTTTAGGCCTCTCTGGAGGATCCTGGAAAAAAAGATCCAGTATTTTAGTCACAATCCATATCAGAATGACAGATTCTGAGAACCCATTCGAATAAATATAATTTCTATACCAATGGTTTCTGTCCTTTCAGAAGAGGATGATCAAAAGCTGGCTGCTGATGAGACACAACACAGTCTATTATATCTCCATCAGGACTCTGCAGAAAACCACACGAAAATAAGACGAAAAAATCAAAAGAAAAGAAAAAGGAGGGAAATTTACGGGTCAGAGAATTTGATGTACCTGAATTGTTTTAACATAAGGCTTGTTAATCTGCTGGAGACGAGTTCTTATGATGTTGAGTTTCAGAAGCTCTTTCTGGGGCTGAAAAGTCTGATTGAAAATCTGAGAACGGACAGGACAAGCCAGAGAAGCAACAAGGAGGAGGAAATGTACAAGAAGTGAAATGATTGGAGAGCTGAAACACAAGCTAAAATCCATGCTTGAGAAATTTCTTTCGTTTGTTTCTATTCAGAACCATGCGTGTGTCTGTTTGTTGGCATTGAGGTTGTCTTCTTCTTCCATGAAAAAACAAAACAAAACTTGAAGCTCCACTCCACAACACAGAAGAACCTCTATTCTAGGCACCTTAATTTAGTCTTCTTCACCATTTCCAAATCCTTGAAATCCCAGAACAACAACAAGAACGCTCGTGCTATTTTCTCTCACTCTCTCGAGTCTAGTGCTTGAAACTTGTAAACAATGGATATAGTATTACAGACAACTTGAACTCTTGGGTTTCAAGCTAATTAAGAATACACCGAAAAGAAAAAAAGGGCTGGGGTTTTCTTAAAGGTTTGGCCATGTGGGGTGGAATTATATATGCCAGAAAATCATTCTGACTTTTAAAATTTGTGAAGAATCAAGCGAGAGAGAGAAGGGTTTTGTGTTTCCAAACTGCAGTACAAAGACTGAAACTTTAGCTTTTTGTGTGTGGATATTAAAGGGCAAAATGGTCCATGTGATTTCCTGTTATTCTCTCTCTCTTTTTTTTTTTTAACTTTGGGTCTGAAGACAGAAGGGAATTAGAATTTTTTTTTTTTTAGCTTTAAAGTTCCTTCCTTTTCTCTCTTTCCCACTTCCCTAGATGTTCTATTTGTCAGCTGTTCCAATTTTATTTTCAATTCAATTTTATATATTTTTGTGTATATACCATGCCATCATGGACACATACTCATAATTTTTAACAAATAAAGCTAATCCACTTTCACCATGCATACACGAAACTTGGATAAGTTTTTTTGGCCTGCATTTCATTTAAATAATGAAATTTTCACTTTCAATTATAACTTTCAATTCATAATTCTTGATAAAAATAACATCACATGATAAGTTTACAGAGTTAATATTTATAAAATTAATTATTTAATACTGCTAGTCATAGGACGCAACTCTTCTTCTAATATTATTTGTTTTACATTTTCAAGATTTGAATCATCAGCCATGGTTTAGTTGATCCAATACTAAATTAATCTTATTAACGTAAGACGGCATGGTCCACACCATTCTTGTAATAGAATTTTTAAAATTTTTTATTAATAATTAAAATGAGAAGAGAAACATAAAATAAGTTCATTTGACAGGATAGTCATTTTAATAATTCTGGTGGGTGGGTGGATGGTGCAATTAATGTGAAAGAGTAAATAGGAAGAAATATTAGTTACAAAGTATATAAAATACATACACATTGCGTCTTTGTTAATATATCATCAATTATTATTATTATTATTTAAAAATTCACGGGCACATTATCTCAGTTGAACCGTGAAGTTTAGAAATCCCAAACCCCGCTTAGCTGGATGTTGAATTTTGATGACCTGTTGATGCAATTTCATAAATCTTTGATCACACGCTCAAATATTGTTTTTCAAATTCATATTATTAATAATCCTTATTGGATAATTTATCCTGCACGCCTCTTTAATTCTCTCTGCAGCAACTTAAAATTTGAACAGGTCCATATATATATGTTTGTGTGTGTGTTAATGTGACACTGACAGATTTTTATTTCAGTAAATTAATCACATTTCGCATAAATTTTCGTGTTTACATATTTATATGTGTGTGTGTATGCTGCATAATCATTTTATACTGGGAAAAGTTTGAATGCATGATAAAATCTATTGATTATTCAAGTCGTAAACTGAATATACGGAAATTAATTAAGTCTTTTTTTTTTGTAAACTAAGGGTTAATTAATTAAATTGAATCATAATAATATAGATAGGGTTGGGGTATCAGAGTTATATATGTAAAATTAATTGTGCATCTTTTTAGGCGTGTGTGTTAATGATGCCTACCACTTAGCGAGCAATCCCTTTAGAGCATAACTTGTGAATGTTTAAGAGAAAATCACTAACAGGTCCCACAGAAGGTAATTTATTACTCTGAGGTCCCACAAAATGTCAAAATCATTGACAGGTCCCAAGGGACCTCAAAGTAATATTTTCGTTTTGTAAAATGACATTACTGCCCCTCATATTCCAGATTCACATTTGCTCTGTCATTACGATTTACAACCTCAACAATGACTATTAACAACCTAATGAGAGGGCGTTAACAACCCTAGCAATATCCGTTAACAACTTACTTTATAGAATTATATAACCTCTACATAAGAGTAAATTATAACCAAATAATATAATACAACAACTTTAACACTAAAATGGGAAGCTTTTTGATATCATTAAGAATTTTAACTAGATCCAATAGGATTATAGTAATATTTTAATGCGAAGATCCATTTACAACCTCAATAGCGACTATTAACAACCGAATGAGAAGGCATTAACAACCTAAGCAGTATTCGTTAACAACTTACTTTATAGAATATATAACCTCCGCATAAGAGTAAATTATAACCAAATAGTATAATACAACAACTTTAATACTAAAATGGGAAGCTTTTTGATATCATTAAGAATTTTAACTAAACCCAATAGGATTATAGCAACATTTTAATGCGAAGATTCATTTACAACCTCAATGGTGAGTATTAATAACCTAAAGAGAACTGTTGACAATCTAGGCAGTATCTATTAACAATTGACTTTATAGGATAATATAACCTCTAACAACTATATAAGATTAACTTTAAGACTATTTAGTTATAGTTTAGTTAGTTATAGTTAGAAGTTATATTATCCGATAAAGTTAGTTATTAACAGACCCTGCTATGGTTGTTAACAATTCTCCTTAGGTTATTAATACTTACTGTTGAGGTTGTAAATGGATTTTCGCATTAAAATGTTGCTATAATCCTATTGGATTTGGTTAAAATTCTTAATGATATCAAAAGCTTCCCATTTTAGTGTTAAAGTTGTTGTATTATACTATTTGATTATAATTTACTCTTACGTGGAGGTTATATAATTCTATAAAGTAAGTTGTTAACGGATACTGCTTAGGTTGTTAATGTCTTCTCATTCGGTTGTTAATAATCGCTATTGAGGTTGTAAATGGATATTCGCATTAAAATATTACTATAATCCTATTGGATTTAGTTAAAATTCTTAATGATATCAAAAAACTTCCCATTTTAGTGTTAAGTTGTTGTATTATACTATTTGGTTATAATTTACTCTTATGCAGAGGTTATATAATTATATAAAGTAAGTTGTTAACGGCTACTGCTTAGGTTGTTAATGCCCTCTCATTCGGTTGTTAATAATCGCTGTTGAGATTGTAAATGGATATTCGCATTAAAATATTACTATAATCCTATTGGATCTAGTTAAAATTCTTAATGATATCAAAAAGCTTCCTATTTTAGTGTTAAAGTTGTTGTATTATATTATTTGGTTATAATTTACTCTTATGTAGAGGTTATATAATTCTATAAAGTAAGTTGTTAACGGATACTGCTAGGGTTGTTAACGCCCTCTCATTAGGTTGCTAATAGTCGTTGCTGAGGTTGTAAATCGTAATGACAGAGCAAATGTGAATCTGGAATATGAGGGACAATAATGTCATTTTACAAACGAAAATATTACTCTGAGGTCCCTTGGGACCTGTCAGTAATTTTGACATTTCATGGGACCTCAGAGTAATAAATTATCTTCTGTGGGACCTATTAGTGATTTTCCCAATGTTTAATCCCTTCTTCTCAGAAAAAGCGCTAATTAAATTAATTTCCGAGCCATTAAAGTTGGCAAAAAGAGCACATATAATCAGATAATCAATGTTCCGGCAACGAAAAAAAATCCAATAATCAACGGAATCTTAGTAAATTAATATACTATATACTTCGATTCTAATTATAAAACCTTATTCATAATTTATAAATAGGATCTTATAATTAAGAGCAGATATAGTATATAATACCACCACACAGCCACTCTCGTTGCTGTTAGTTGGCATAAATATAATTAATAAATTTATATAATCTGACCCATTAGTTGTAGGCCCTTATGCTTAAGTTAAAATACATATAGCACCTCGAAGTATTTTATCGGATATATTTAACATCCTAAAATATTTTTTAAGTGCATTCAACACTGTGAAATATTTTTGGTGCATCCAGTAACTCGTAGTATTTTTTTAGGTGATTCTAGTATCTAAAAATATTTTTTTGTGCATCCAGCATCAAGACAAAAAAAAAAATTTAGGGTGTTGGACACATCTAAAAAAATAATTCGAGATGTTGAATATATTTTAACCCTTTCTATTTTACACGTGTGCGTGATGCTGCTCTCTTCTCATCACCGAAACTAAATAGAGGTTAGCTTATTAAATTTATTTGAAAATAGAAAAATCCAACATATTAAAATTAATCAACTTCATTACTTAACACTTGTGATATGAATGAGTCGTATAATTAAAGGCAAAATACAAGATGGGATTCATAATTAACTAACACATGCACCTGACCTCAGCTCAACTCAAATTCTCATTCTAATATATACATGCATTTATATATATATATATATAAAGAAATCATAGCAATATTATTTAACACCAGTGATGTATTACAATTGCATGCATGGGATATATACACATACGTACACACACACATATAAAGGTACACTTTCCACAGGGACTGGAACTAACCAAACTGAAAAAATAGAATATTGTGGGAACCTAAAAATAAATCTCACCGAACAACCTATTAACCCTAACCCTAAAGCTGCGGATGCGAATCTCGGGATTTTTCTTCATTCATTCTTTATGTACAACATTTATACATTGTTTAAAATATGTTACACATGAATGAAGAAAAGTTACATTACACCCACTGAAAATAAGTTACAGATGAATTTTTAAACAGTTTTTTTTAAAATCTTTTTGGACGATAAATTTTAGAATGGAAATAATTTTCAGGAAATTTTCCTTTTTATAAGGTACATATGGTGGTCTTTAAGGGGAAAAAGTGGAATAATGTGATAATTTGAAGGTCAGCAAAATGGGCCATCAGTTCACTCATTACTTTATGCCCATAACCCTTTAATTTGACCGAAATCAGCAGTCAAAGCGTCCTTTCAACCCATACTTTGACTCTTCTTATTGGCTCATGCATGCCTCAACCTAACAAACTCATTATATATATATATATATATATATGTAGTAATACTGATTATGATTTGATTCCTCTCCCTTTCTGGCGAAATTTGTCAAAAATTTAAAATACATTTTGCAATTCTCTATTTGAAATTAACTGCAACAAATCATCTGATCCTCCCTTTAATATTCACGAACTCGGCCGAATATTTTTTGCTTATATATATATATATATATATATATATATATTATTCAAAAGAACTACAATTTACAAGGAAAGAAAAGAAAGGTAGGCCTTAGGACGAACTTTTCAGAGGTTCAAATCCTATAAACCTCGAAATAGGAGAGTGACAAATAAAGTAAAAAAGATGCATAAAACCACTTGATCAATCCCACATCTCCCCACACAATGTGTTTTATATATATATATAAAGAAACTTTTAAAGAGTTTGTTTCTGTCCTTTTAATAATAAGACCCGTTTTAAATCGTCTGGTGCATTATTATTATTATTATTTTTTATAGAAGTACCTCAATTAATTACTCAAATGAAAATGGTAGAGGTTACATTGCTATAGGCGTGTAGTAATTAGAAGTGTTCCCTTAAACTTCTTAATTGCCGTAGTCAGCTCCTTCATGCAGGATATGGTGGGGTTTCAATCAAACCCTAAACATGAACCTCAGGTCTTCAACTTCTGCGTAATTTTCTGATGCTTCTCATACTAAATAATAATGACCTCATATTATACTACTGTGCGTGTGTGTATTAGTGAATATGCATTCTATTATTCCATTCCATTCCCTCTCTTCATCACTTACCCAGAGATTATTATTATTATTATATAAAGCGTCAAGGCATCATAAAATATCGCATCAAGGCATCAAACTTTAGAATTGCATCTGTTTTTTTTTTTATATAAAAAAGTGGGGATATGAGTAAAGTGGCGTCATAAAAAGAAGAGAAAAGAATCATGAGAAGGAATAATTAATCATGGCGCAGTAGCATATATAGGTTTAAATCATCATGAACTTACAACAAGAGTACCCTTTCTCTAATTAATGTTATTAATAATTTATTTTAAATATTGAATCAATGGTTGGTTCACGAGACATATAATATATTAACACCTATTTAAATTTGTGAACATCAAGTGCTAACATTATCACCAACACATCAAAAGATATATCCATTGGATAGAATACGTATATGCATAGATATATTTAACATGCAAATATCGCATGTTACGGTTCAGAAACAAGTGAAAAATTAATTTAAAAATTGACTCAGAAATCAAACTTCAAGTTCTTGAGAAAAGGCCAAATATAGATATGCAATACATAACACTGAGTATATCAGCAGATTGCGGGATTTACATAACATCTATTTTCAACAATAACTAACAGAGAATGAAGTACTATATATAATATAACACTATAAGATAAAAAATTGAAATATCAACTTAAAAGTTAAAGGTGCCGGCTCCTGCGGAGTTATTATTATGATTATATATTGGGAAAAGGCCTGCAAGAATGGGACAGAGATGCAAAGCAATGATACTGTCTAAAGAGTTCGAAGGAGCACGACGACCTAAAAACTTGCCAACTTCAAAACGGAATTAACAAAACAGAAGGGGGTCAAAAAAAAAAAAAAACCCCTGACAACCTCATAGGCTCGAAAGAGCGTGTGTTCGTATATATGAGCCATAATTTCAGAGTGCAGCAACATGTCGGAGAACAGATTCATTATTAATGTCATTTCGATCTGTCTGCAAATTAATTCAATGTTTCATGCTAATAGCATCATCATCTTCTTCTTTTGTATGCGGGCCACACCTCTCTCTGATGCATCATCGTCGTCTCCGTCATCATGATGCTGCTTCAGCACTGTGCATAATTTGAACGGTTAGGTTTAGGATTGACGTGAATGATGATTAATCATGCACGTTCTTCTTCCATCATTACTCATCTGCATATATCAACGTGTTCTCAGGCTGCTCCTTCTATAAAACTAAAGCCGTACGATCTCTTGCTTTCTGCACATCAACACATTCAGATCGTCGGGATACATACAAATATTCACTTTCTCTTTTATATATATATATATATGTATATTTTTTGCCAGCAAAAATAAATAAATAAGAGAAGGTGAATATTTGTGTGTATATATGTAACAAAAATAAACTTATTATTTCACGAAGGAAATGCAATTAAAACCGATTGAGCTAAATTGATGTAATTATTAACTTGTTATTATGGCATTCCGAGCTAATTTGTTGTCACTGGGAAGACCGCAATTTAAGAGCCCTAACAATGTTTATGGATTTTCTCCAAAGTTTAATTCCGAGGCCCATTGTTGAACAGCGGGCCATGAAAATGGGTCCATAAACATTTATGCAAATGGGCCTTCATTTTCTAGAATATGCTCTTGATCCGACCCGAATTTTCCCGAAATATCGTATTCGGAAAAGGGGGCAATTGGGAATTCTTTTGTTTAATGCAATCCAGATTTTTTTTTTTATGTTCACAAAAGCTCATATGATATATTGAGAGAGAGAGATAAAAGATATATATCTAATCTTTAATATAGGAGCTAAATAACTAAGTTGCTAACATTAAAGAAATTAGTTAAGTTAGTTATTTATCATAAATAGACGTTATTTATCAATTATATGCATTAAATATTATAGACATTGAGAGAGAGATAAAAGAAATACCATCTCCAATCTTTAATATAATATAGGAGCTAAATAACTAAGTTGCTAATATTAAAGAAATTAGTTATTTATCATAAATAGACGTTATTTATTAATTATGTGCATTAAAATTATTTTTTCATAAATACTTCTTAACATGTATAATCACCATAAAAATCACTTAGAGACAAAATGAATAAATATTATAGACAAAATAGATTGGAATCTTATATTTAGATTCAAATTGAATTTTGAACCAGTTCTTATATTAAAGACGGTACTAATTAAGTATGGAGATGAAATATAGATTCTAATTTTCTTTGGTCAAGCTAGGAGAAAAGTAGAAATAAAGAATGAGAATAACAAGGGATCCACGCACACTGACAGCTATGGTGGACGCTGCCACTATCTTTGATCTCTATGTCTTCCCTTGTTAACTGGTACGAGGTTGAAAGATGATAAGTAGGTGTTTGAAGAAATCGAAAGCTGCGAGTGTGGAAGCACTGAAAGAAGCAGCATTGGCATTAAAGTTGCGGAGCAATTCTCAGGAATATCACCCCTTGTCGTTTTCTTAGTTTGTGGAGCATTTGGATATTACTATGTAAAGTTTTGTCAGCTTTTCTTGAAAATTTATAATGCTGAAGGGTTTTAATCCATATTAATACAGTTTACAATGCAAATGAGATATTTTAGGAACACTAACCATATTAATTACAAATGACTAATGTAACTGAGATTGTTAACAGAGTTTAAAATTAATAAATCCCAAATATAAAAATATATTATTTGAGAATCCAATATTATTAAGACTTATTAAATTGTTGCTACCAAATTTGATTTAGAATTTAGTAATTTTAAACTTTTTTTGTGTGGGATTCTCTCAATTCTTAATATCTTCAAATTAGTTATTCAATTCTTACATATCTTGTTTGATTTTGGTTTTAGATTGATTTCATCTCAATTGTATTTTAGTAACTTTTAAGCTCTTATTTCTCACAATAATATGATATTTCTAGCCAAAAAAATCATATGTGGAGTATGATCTTTATAAGATTCCAAAGCACTTAGGAAATGTGGAATAAATTAGTTGTATTGCCATATATTGGTTATTTGACCCGTCCAAATTCTTTTTGTCTCCTTCCTGAGAAGATAATGGAAGAAACTTTCACAATTGGGCATGATCTCGCCGGTGATCCATCAAGATACTGGCCCCTTTAATATTTCGTGTCCTTTTTAATTTTTGTTTGTACGATGTTAACTGATTCAGGTATAATCTCCTGGGCCTATTTCTGAAACAGGAAAACATCTGTGGTTGTGGCACCTTAAATAACAAGAAGTGGGAGACAGCAAAATCATGGTGCGACGGGCATCAAATCACTTCGAACTATAGAATTCTGAAAGAGTCCTATCCCCCACTCATTGTGATTCTGCAGAGAATCAAATGGCCTAATTCCGTTTTGCCACCTGTCAATATCATCATTTTTTTAAAATATTAGCATCATAGGCATGTTATTATCTGAATTTAAATACTCCCTTCGGTTCTTAATATAAGATCTTGTTTAACTTTTATTTTGATCCTAAATATAAAACCCTAATCCACTTTATTTGTCATATTTATGTATTTTTTCTCAAAGTAATCTTTTTAACAATGATAATTCTAGCCAATACACTTGATTAGTAAAGATATTTTAAGAAAGATAACACATATTTGTTACAAATAACTAACTTAACTTATTTCCTTAATCTCTTCAAATTAGTTAACTAGCTCTTATAATTAGGACCGGAGGTAGTATTTTATGTTTCGTAGGTGGTTTATTTATTTATTTATTTATTTCCTTAATGACAATATTATTAATAAATTGAAGACCCCTATTACATGTTACAACAATATCACTATCTGTGTGTATTTAAATTCAAGGCTTGAAGCAAGAGAGGATAGTGTGAGAGACAAGGTAAGGGGAAGATGGAAAGATCATTCATATGCTTGCTCTGCTATTTATGCATGGCACTGTGTAACTTGAGTGGCAAGACCAAACTTGCGAGTGCCATCGAAGGGCCAAGGTACAAAGTTGTACGCTCTGAATCAGACTTCGAGGTCAGACTTTATGATGAATCCTCATGGATGTCAGCTTCTGTACGAGGATCTTCCTTCAATCTGTCCACTGCAAGCGGTTTTCACAGGTTCTCTTTCTTCCCATTCTGTTTGGTGACAGACTCAATGTTCTGTTTTTCACAATTATAATACTAGTTTCGATTCTTAATATAAAATCCAGTTGATTAACTTGAAGAAATTAAAAAAATTACTAAATTACTTTAAACTATGTATATTTATTTTTTCACTTATAAATTAAGGTATAATCTAATAATTCATATCAGTATTTTAGAAAGATAATGTAACATATGTTATAATTAATTAATTAATTAAACAACTTTCTTAATTTTTTTAAATTAATCAATTGAGTTTTATATTAGGGATTAGTAAGCTGCTCTAATTATAATATTCTGTTTATTGACTGTGGGCCAGGATTTATCAATATATTCATGGGGCGAATCTGAATTCCTCCCATCTTTCCTTCACTGCTCCGGTCTTAACAAGCACTGTCTCATCATCATCCAGTGGGAATGCTGACTATACAGTGAGGTTTTATATATCACCAAAATATAAAGGAAATCCTCCACAGCCAAACCCAGAACTGAAATTGCATTTAGACAAGTGGAACTCTCATTGCGTGGCAGTGAGAAAGTTCAGTGGGTTTGCCGGAGACAATAACATTGATGAAGAAGTTAAAGCCCTTGTGAGCAGCATCAACAAACGCTGGCCACCTGAGAATTCAGCAGCAATACAGGACAAAGGTTCTTATTCCATTGCCCAGTACAATGGTTCCGATACAGCTTCTGGCAGATTAAACGAAGCTTGGATTAATATCTCAGGAGCCATTGTCGGCGGTTGTCCACCTTCTCAGTAATGTGTCATTGTTATTACAAGAGTGTCTGGCCTCCGTGTGCAGTATCGTGTGTGATTTCAATAATGTTCCTAGGATTAAAATGGCTCATTAATAATTTGGGGTGCTAAAAGTGATGGAGTTTTGGGGCATGTTGGTGAAATTCTGGACTAAAGCACAACCTTCAAACTTCCATCATGTATCTTTATGCTTCGCTAGCATCATATTATCATTATTGCGTATCTAGTTTGCTACTTACTGCTTGATGAATAACAGAAAATTACAAGGGAATGTTAGATAAACAAGGTGCTCCGATTATAATTACGATTATATGATCGCAAAACTGATCAGGAATTTACAGAGAAGAAAGGAGATTTTAAAGAGCGGGTTTTTTTTGGGGGGGGGGTTAATTCGGATAGTCATGCAAAAGCTAAAACTTAATTCATGAAACCCTCAAAAGATGGCGGTACAAATTTTCATTTTATATACTAGCAGAAGGTGACTAGAATAAATAAACTCAACAGATGCATTCACATTATCACACAGACTGTAATAAGAAAAAAGAGAATCTATTTAAATTTTCTACATCAGCATAAATAAATGAATACAAAAAAAAAATCATTGAATAATAAACCGAATAGAACTTTCATATTCACATGATTACAAGTCGCAAGCGTGCATTATTTTATCACATCAATACCAGTCACGTCGAATATGCAGCTACGAGGGAAATTTGACCCGCAAGTTCAAAGTTCAAACTCTGAAAGTTCCCACCTTCGAAACTCCGAACTGGGTCGATCATAGTTGGAGTAGGTGTGGGTTTAGAGGCTTACATTTGTGGTCTGGTTTGGACAACATAGATTTTTCCATCCCTGATCGCACCTTCAATGTCCTGAGGAGAGCCATATAATTGTTCAATAGCACTTCCTGCACGAGCAATGCCGGACAGTATTGACTTGCGAAAACCATTGTCAACTATGAGTGGATCAGAGGAGTAATCAAGCACTACTTTCTCTTCCTCATCCATTGGCACACTGTCGCAGGAAATTTCAATTAATATATTTCAATGGGCATAAAGAAATGTAAGAACAAATGATTTATTCACCAGACAAAATGAGCCCTCCGTGGCAATGCATAAATTACAGACAAAGTGAATTTAGACAACAATTTTTGGTGCCATAAATAGATACAAGACTCGTTATTAGTAAGGCCCAGATCTTTCGTGACACTCTGGGCATCTATAACTTGGAAGATGCTCGTTTTGCAAGAGATACGAGTAAGTTTACCTGTCATAAAGGCCTGCGCCGGCATAACCTTCTAGATCTTCACCATTGGAGTCAGATCGGAAAATAATTGAGCGCTTTATATAAAGGCCAACAGGTTTGCTAGGATAACCCAAGACCTGAAGAAGCTCAAAGGGCCAAACCCATTAGCAGAAAAATGGAGAACTCATGGAATAGATACAGTCTGCTAGTAAGAGCAATTTCATGCGTCTGCTATCAAGTCATTATGTTCACTCACAGATGATTAACGGTACACAGTATAGTGAAAGATTTTACCAATTCAGTCACCAAGAAGAAGAAGAGGATTTTATATGTAGTTACCTGAGGGGAGTTCAGGTCATGTTTTTTGCATATAAAGCTTAAAGCACGACCAGGGTAAGCTCCAACCAAAGTTTCCCCAAGTCCCTTTACCACCTATGTCAAAAGAAAGCATAGCAGTCAATGAACGTCTAGGCTTTCTTTCGCTCTCTCTGTATATAAACAAAAGCCATGCATCCATTGACAATGATACCTCAGCATATATTTCCGATGAGTCTCCTGTTGATGGATTAGTTGTGTGGACGACAAAAGCATAGTCAGCGTTAATAACTTCTTGGATAAGGACAGCCATGGAAAGATAATCATGGTCCAGTTTCACTTTTCTTGTGCTAAAGTATGCTCTTTCATTCCACTTTGAACCCCAAACCTTTTGCAAATTCATATAATACACTCAATGACATTGACAAAGAAGATGAATTTTATGAAAAATCTGAACAATAAAATAAAATTTTACAGAGTACTGAAGATTTCAAATTATAATTTGAAGCAAGGTACATAAACCATACATCTCAAACGGGGCTATTTTTCTAGACCTGTCAATTTTAATCATATATTGATAGAACGTCCAAGCACTAATATAGACGTCAAAAACCAGCATGAAAATCATAGAAAAGCATGGAAGGTCCATAAGAAGAAGTCTTATGGAACAGTCACTGGGAAAAATTAGTCAAGACTGAATCTGGTATACAACTTAATAGCAAGTAGCAACAGAAACAAATGCTCTGAAACTCAATCAGTTTAAGTTTTTACATTTTTGAAAACCTATTTCATATGTAGGGACTGGACTAAAGACTCTTGAGCTTGTTACTGCTTGTGGGCAAGCCAATAAGTAATTAATTATGTGAAAATACACACTTAACCAAGGAAAAGCAAATTTAGTTCGGGACAAAAGCATCTAAAACAACATAAGAATGTCAGTGTGAAAAAATTTCTGTAGGTGATGCCAAAATATACAACAGGAAACTCTTTCCATAGGAGATGACAACTGGCATCAAATTCTATGTTGTGCATTGTAATTTACACAGAGAGTATTACCTTTTTTATAGCCTTCCATGCCTGCCCCCATCGTTTTTCACCTTCATCACCAGGCCAAGGCATTCCAGAACTTTTCATCTTAGTCCTTAGCTCCTCTACCTGAAAATAAGGCAACCGCTTCCTCATCTATAGGATTCTAGTTTCTACATCATTTTAGATAGAGCCGCTTTTATATTCCATTGAAGATAGCAGCAAAAATTTATTGCGTCATGTGAGAGAGTAAGGTGAGGGCTACCTTTTCTTTGAACAAAAGAAAATGTCGAAAGCATGCATGATTTGAAATATAATTATTTGGACCAGTTAGTTCTGGGATGTTGGTCCTCTAGATTTGGCGTCTTTGAATTTCTATGGACTTAGTTAAAAAGAGAAGAAAGAAAAATTCTCACAAACAAAACAACAAAAAGGAACTTATCACAACTTCATCAAAATTTCAGCAGTGAAATTTAGAGGACCCAATCTCGTTGGTTCTAACCTAAGATAACTTCTTCCTCAGTTCCATTATAACCATCCCAGGAAGGGAGAACTTTGGGGGCATCACCGATAAGAGAATATGTTAAAGATCAAAAGCAACTCTAAAGTGGAAAAAAATTCAATGCAGCTGCATAAGAATCAAAAGGAAGAAATGTGTCACTTTGTATTAACCTTAACCCAACCGCTAGAAAGACATACCAACTGGGATGGAGCATTCAACTGTAATACTGCCTCGCGAATTTCCCTGAGGGCACTGAACTCTCCCTTATCTAACTTCTTTTTCAGACTTTTAACCTTCTCAGCCACTATCTGTAACATTCAAATAAGAAATTCCACCATAAGACAAGAAAGACTTGCATGATTGAAACTTTTCAATAGATACATATACCACCTTCGATCCTAAATATAAAATCTATTTTGTAGTGTAAATTGCACTATAAACTAGATCTTATATTTAGGACTGGAGGTAGTTTGACATAAACATAATGCATGCGTTATTTTAATATTCCTTGACTATTGATCAAGACTTGGTAGTATAGGGTGCGTATGTCCCATATTGAGTAATATGGGATGCTCAATGGAGTATTTAAATGGGTTGATTTTCCCACCTCAATAGCTAGTTTTTGTGGGAGAGTTCTTTATCTCACTTAGGTAACCATCAATTAATATTAGAGCTTGATTGGTCATGATTACAAAGAGAGTTGCCTATAGAGGGTAGTGACTACTGAAGGGTTTTGACAGATAAGACAGTCAAGTACAATGGCACTGAGTGATTTGTCATATAGTGTAGTTGCTAGGATGTGAGTCTCACATTGAATAGTATAGGATGCTCAATGGGTAATTTAAGTAGGTTAGTTCTCCCACCTCAATAGTTAGATCTTAGAGGAAAAGAAAAAGATAACAAATAGACATGCAAATGCAGGACAACAGGGCTATGATGTATAACCTTATTTGATTTATCAGAAAGAACGTGTTCAAATACTCCAAATGGTATCGCAACTGAAGTGGGGATTCCAATCCAAGAGGGTACTTTTCCTTTTAAATAGGAGATATTACGTGACTTTGCTCCAACCTGGAAAAACATAGATAAGTTATGTCATGGGGAAGACACAAAATAAAAAGAATTCGTATTCTCCAATATCTAGATTCTTGCATTTGACAAAACTCAAAAATGATATAGTCAAAATAAACTAAAACTCCTCAACATAATGCTGCTTTTGACACATCTTACCAACTCATTTGTGAATTCATCAGAGACTATGGCAAATCTACCACGAAACTGCTTTCTGGTCAAAGTTATAGGAGACAGAGAGATAACTCCCTTCTTCTTAGTTGAGTTGGAATCATTTTCCTCTTCCTCTTTGACCTCACTGAGAGAATTTGCCAAACAGTATGCAAATTGGTCAAAAGGGGGAAAAAAAAAAATGAAATCCAGCAATTTAGGTCATTCAGCTAGAGAGAGAAGAAACATTTTGAGAAGGTCATTTCATATCAGTACAAATGATCTAGAGGTCTTCAAAGTAATACTGAGATGTTACCTATAAATCACATCAGCAGATGTAGGTTTTACATGCAAAAACTTTCCTTTACATGCTTGGAGGCTAGCCAAGATATTGGGATCAAAGCATGTGGCAAAACAGACCTGGAAAACTTGAAAAATTGGATGTCAGTATTTTATATATGTCAATGTAGATAAACGTCTTATCAGCCATCTTCATCTTTTGCATGTCAGGAAGAACATATCGACACTATCATTTTGCATATAATAAATGCACTGTTTTACATTAATGAAACTTGCTTTGCACTTTATTTAAAATACATTTTTGAAGCATATGAAAATATCATATACAAGGTAACACAGAAATGTAAGGAATATGGGAGAAATGAATGAATAAATAGTGAAGGGGCCCAAAAATAGGAGAAAGAATGTATCCCAAACATGTACTTTTATTGAAAATAATATCATATTTGATCAGGGGCATATATAATAGCAGATTTTAGGAGATCATTTTTCCACATCACTTGCTCTTATGGCCCCTGAAAGTGTATAAATGTATGGTTCATATGTATAAAATGACACCAAGGAATAAAAATTTGCTTCTCTGTTCAAAACAACAACTTTTATTT